TAGCTGCAAGATGTCATACAAATAACCATTTTTCTATAATATATTTGTTACAACAAAATATTTCAATGTGTACATTTAAATGATAACGAAATAATTTGATATGCTGAAAAAGAAATACTTTCTTTTACTCTATAATTATTAATTCGTTTAGACGAAATAAATACATTCTCTTGAGCTGGAGAAAATAGAAAATATTTAGTAAAGTACGTACATAAACTTATGTAAATTAACTTTATAGTTTGATCGTAAACTATTATTTGTAAAAAATTAGACACATTTAAAGATAATTATGAAATCGGATAAAAATGATACGGTGTGTATACTGAACGTGTACAATTTATAGTCGTTTGAAAATTGTTTCGTTAAAAGCAAAACATTAAATATACTATAAAAATGAATATTACAAGGTGAACACTTATGTCGTTAATTGACCAAGAAATTTAATTGGACATGTAATAAATATCTTTACAGTACTTATGTCGAGTGATATTTGATTTAGTTTGCTGATGTAAGATTAAATTTTGTTTTTTTTTCTTTTCAGATCAAGGCTCATTAAAATCTGTACCAAGCTGCTAAATGGTACATCATTAACTGTATTTAATAAATATGTTCATAGGATGAAAAGCTTTCTATTTTGTTTGGAGATATTAAAGCTAGGCTGCTTGTACTACTCCATTCTCTTTTGGTCATCAGTCTTTAATTGTACTACAGGTTTTTGATCAGAACTCGTCATGATCATCCGAGTTCTATCTAATTGTTTAGTACAGAATACCTTTTTTTTTTTTGTAGGAGCTGTTATAGATGTTGTAAAACGTTGTATATTAGATATCTCTTTAATCCTTATTTAAATCAGCATTTGTGAACTTAGAAGAGATATGCAAATAAGAACATGACAATACAAATGTATAATAATAATTTTCTGGTTGTGTTAAATCGATTAAGAATTTCTTACAAATAGTACAAGAGAGTCAAATATTACTTTCATTAACTTGCGTTCTTATTCACATCACGTTAGTCAACCGAAATTTTTATAACATATTTATTTCACATAAGAACAGCATTTGAACGTACGGCCGTAAACTGATTGCAATAACAAGTGCGGGCATGATGCAATTTCATGACCTACACATTCTATGACAGGATCGTGGGTACAATCCCACATTCCTGGACCGTACGGGCGACAAAGTCCTACTAATGTACAAGGTAGACGAACAAGCTGACGAAAATGATGCAGTAGGCCTCTAGCCTTTCTCAATATGAGATTTCCATCCATGTACATGGCTAAAGAACTAAAATACAACAACATTTCATCCGTTCTAAGATCTTGTGCTATTACGTCATCTGCGTAAACACATATTACAGCGAGGCAAAGGAACAGATGAAAGTGATCCGTTAAATAATTCACCCAACAGGCTTCCCACATTACTAGTGCTACTTCAGTAAGAAACTCTCGTTTCAGACATCTGTAAAAGGCAATACTTATCTAATATAAAGTTACTTGTGACTGTTGTTGTAACAATCATAGAATTAATTACTTACAGGAGTATCCATCGGTGACAAAACAGAAGTTCTAAGGCATCTGTATGTTTTTGAAGGTGAGCATAAAAATCTGGTACCATTATTCTAACTAATTCCCTTAAATAACACAAGTTTCTGTCTATGTCAACGTCAGTAGGCGTGCACACAGTTACAGATCTTTCCATTAAACCAGCAAAACACCAAAAAGCTTCTATTTCAGAATTCAGTTCAGCCAATAATGGTGCCAACAGATCAGACATCCCTTGTGTATAACCTAATCGAGAATTGTAAACTGCATAATTTAATAAAATGTTCCTGTGGACAAAACATATATCAATGATACAGACGAGATTGAAAATTACAATTTATTATCACGTTCAACACGTTAAACGTACTTCATTACTTCAATATTTGGATTATCTTCTCCCGCATAATATGGATTTCCTCTATCGGTTCGAACAACATCCTTCTCCACGATACACACCACGTTTCGCAAGAAATGTTCTGCTTGCTTCGGACTCATGTTCGTTCTATGCTTTTGAATTTCTTCATATTTTTGTTTCAAAATGGCATCTATTTGTTCCCTTTCTTCGTAAGTGCTTTGATATGAATAACAGTGAAGAAGAAATGGCCATACAATTTTTCTTAACGCTGGTTCCAACCCTCCAAAAAATATTCCTTTACGAAGTGCTAGATCATCTTCCACTTGACCCTTCTCGTTTAATAAATCTTTCCACGCTAATGAGGTAATCATTGGTACCTGTCCCTCTTCCGGGTGTAATTCATCACGACTTACCTCGGGTCGACATACCATAAAATGCCTGAAATATAAAAAGAACAATAAACACCCCTTGTTTTACATATCGATAACCTATCGAGTACTCTATTAATGCATATGTAAGTACCTATACGGGAAGCCTAAGTATACTATTAATGCATATTGTAAATACCTATATGGGAGGCCTTCTTCGGTATCCTCGTTTAGTCTCGGATAAAGTAATTGATGCCACTGGTGTAAAATTGCTGCTAATCTATCTAAGCCACCATGGTGGAAATGCAGAATCTTATATTGACTCTCTCTACTTGCAACTACTAATTGACCAGAGGTACATGCTGGATCTGCAAAGAACAACCTCAAGGACCTCATTTCGCTGAGATCAACGGAGAACCGTCTACATCTGTGCGCCCTACGTAATGTAATAGGAGAAGCTGTAGCGCTTTCAGGAAACGTAAGATTATGCTGCAAAGCCAACAGTTCTGGCGACCTCATCCATGTTGGAATCTCCTCACCTGAGAAAAATTATTTGTCAGTGGCTGCGACAACTTATGCGAGTACATAATTTCACAAAGAAATTCGAAAAAGATGACGGACAGTGTGCAAAATTTAATTTCCTTTGCGAACAGCTTCAAGAAATTAAATTAAATGCGCTTTATTTAGGTTTACTTATTTATAAATATGAAGGCAAAACTATAATCAATCAAAGAGACCAGCGATGGGTATAACCAGCAATAGACGTAAACGTGCAAAACATGCGCATGGAAAATGTGTATTATTTCATATGTATTTAATACAATTCATAATAAAGCCAGGAGGAGTTTTTTAGAGAACTGCAGGAATTATTACATCCTTCAAATATAACAAAATGAATATTATATATTCTTTACGTATTTCCATATGTTTCATACATGTATGAATATTTTATGAATGCACATGTTTTTTTACATCTTTCATAAATATTTGCACCTTATTAATAATATACATATTAAAATACCATCTAAAAACATACCAACGGATAAGCTGCACGTAGAAGACAGCGACATGCTACGACTCTTGAGGCTACCATCATCATAATAGGGATATCTAAGTTCCTCGTCCATGCTTCTCCCATCGCACTCTTGTATTTTGATATCTTTTTCATCGTTATAATTCTGACTTTCGTCATGTTTCTCGCTAACAAACTCGGAACTTGATCGGTTCAAATCGTCGCCGCAGTTGCTTTCTTCGTGTATCACAGTCGGCGAAGCGTCGGACCGATGATGATTCTTCTCGATGGGATCGTCGGAATCGTTCGACGTTTCCTTGGTTTCCAACGAGGCTATAGCTTTGTCGTCGCATAAATAATTCCGTTCGTCGTCCTCGTTCTTTTCTTTGGGCTCGTCGAGACCGGATCCAGCACCCCGCGGGAACCCGCCGGAACAAACGCGTTCGCAGTCTCCGCAGCTAACCGGTTCCTTCACCTCCAAACAAACGTCAACCTTGCCGCTGGTGTTCTCATAGTCGCACTTCAAATTGCAGCTCTCCTCGGATATCTGCGAGGGGTGACTAACGGTGGTCTCGGCGTCTCGATGCGCGGCACAATCGGGCTTCTTCGCGTTCACATTCTCCAGCGTTGCAGGATGCTTGCGAAGCGTGCTGTTCGGTATCCAGCTAAGATGCAGCGTCGGCACGTTCGAATTCTTATTGAACCTGCAGGTGATCGCCATGTATCCAGGATGATGCACCACGTCGGAGTTCTGTCTCATCAACGTCGGCGGATGAACGCAGACATTATTTTTGCAAAACAACGCCTCCCCGTCCTGGTACACGGCGCGACGATTGTCCTGGCTGCAGTCCCCTAAAATATAGCTGCTTGCCTTCCTCAGGATATTTGGCAGAGGCATCTTCGGTTCGAAGCGTATCGATGTATCCAGGTCATCTAGTTAATTTTTCAAAAGCATCGTTGCGGATTTTCGCTAGAAGAGGCCAACCAATTGTCACGCAGCCTTCAATCGTCACGGGACCGCAAGAGAAGAATCCGTATGACGATCGTAACAACAAATAGAAGGCATCGTGTACGACCGAACTTCTTATTAACAGATCCGAGCGGATTTGATTTTAATTTCGTGCCCCAGGCTCTCCGTTAGTTTTGCTTTTTTTTACCGAAAATACTTCGATGCTTCCGCACGAGACAGATAGTCTCGGAGGTCGAACTTCGTCGCGCAGAAGCGCGCAAATAGATCTGCATGAAAATGTGTCTACGGCGAACTGATTTTTTTCTTCTACGATATGTTTCCCGCTATCGCGTTCGTCTGTTTGGGAACGCGAACGTTATCGCGCCAATTAGCCTCGATGCATATAATACGGAGCTAATAATAACTACCACAGCTTATACGTACAGAGAAATCATGCACATCAATTGGCAACTTCCTGGTCTCTACCTGCACGAAGTCACCCTTTTCGTTACGAGGGTAACATATTGTTGAGCTTTCGTCAAATTTTGATGGAGATCCGGAACAAATGGGATTCCATTGCGTTTAACATCCTTGAGAAAGAATTACAAAGCCATGCTCCATTTAGGTGAACGCACGAATTTAAAGAAAATATTGTTTACACGTCACTGTCAGTTGTGCGTACGCGTGATCGAACTATGCGAGGTAGGAACTATGATGCACCACTTGAAAGTACGAGTTATCCAGTTCACGATGATCACTTGTAATAAACCACCATCGCGTCGTGTTTACAGACGATATTCTCTAACAAAAAGCAAATTACATATCAAATATCACTTTTAAGTCAGAGTTCGGATATGATGCGATAAAACGTGTTTGCCAACAGACGGAACACAGATGCCCTTATCCAGGATCAATATTTCCATCTGATCGTGAACCTGGTGGTTGGCTTACTATCCAAGCCACCGACATACAGTTGCCCGACGTTATATACTGTTTTTATTGATTTTTTCGTAGTATTAAATTTGAATCACTTTTTTTCCCCCCGATTCCGAAGTTTATTATAAATTGCGAGCTACGATCGTCTTTTACATTTTACATTTTACAATTCCATGAAGCCTGTATGAAAAATTCAAAACGAGCGGCATTTGTTCAGCGAACAGAAAAGTTCATATTATCTGATATAATTTAAAAACGCAAATTTATGTTAGAAAATTGTTATTGACGTTTTAGAACATTCTTCAACAGATGAACCAATGAACTTTTACGGTTTTCATGGTATATTTTAGAAATTGCAGTACTTAATAAATTTCAAAATTATAACAGTCGTTTTTGTAAAATTTTGATATATATTTAGACATTATTATTATTATTGTTATATGTATTATAAATATAGACTTATTTTATCTTGAATTATTTGTCACATGTTTTAGTGTATTATATTTCGAATTCAAAAGAAACCCGATCTCCAAAAGTTGAAATTTCGTGATTGTCATTTAAAAATTGCAAATACTAATTTTTTCTAGTCTATACATATTCTGTGTACGTTTCGGTCACAAAGATAATTCGAAATAAAACATTAAAGAAATGACTAAACTCAAGTGTAAAAATATTGAAAATACTTAAACAATATACAAATAAAAAACGTTAGCATAACTGGACGAATATTAAAAGTGTTAACTCCCTTGTTCGAAAACTCAATGAAAACAAGTCTCCAAAATTTTAAAACTCCTAAGATTGAAATTCCTAAAAAAGAGGTTTGCTTATACTATAGAAGAGAATTAATGAGATTATTGACATTTAGAAATATTCAGATCTTCATATCACAAATTAAATATCATTATATTGTAGATTAATTATTACAATTATGTACATTATTGTATACTGTACTTAAAAAGTATTTCATGATTGTTATCAAGTGCCAGTGCAGCTTTGGCTCCACGTTTCAAATATGATATCGTAGAATACGAAGTAAAATGAAAATCTTCCTGTAGGTAACCATTTACAAGTAAATGTCCTACTATAGCTTCGCCTGACTGTCTCGTAAACTTCGGTATTGGCACAGAAGATACCCGTAATGTTGATGCACCTTTACCGTACCAAGCATCTATAAGTTTTAAGGCAGTTAATCTTGTATCACTTTGTACTGCTTTAGTCAGTATTTGATATAACTGTCTACAGTATGGAGCGATATTTGTGTCTTTTCTCTCACTAGGTTTTCTACAATGATCGCACATTTCGGCACAATCTTTTTTGTTCCAAGTTTCCTCAAAATGCGTTGCAATTAAACTACGTCTGCACGAAGTTTGATCTAAACAATATGCTAACACTTTGTATAAATTTTGTAAACCAACTTTATCTTGGAACACCATTGTGCTTAATTTAAATACATCTAGAAGTCTATATAATACGATACAAGCTGAATTCTTTCCATCTCTACCAGCACGTCCGCTCTCCTGATAAAAGTTCTCCATTGATTTTGAGATACAATGATGAATAACGAATCGTACATTCGGCTTGTCAATACCTAATCCAAAGGCAATGGTAGCAACTACGGCTTGATATTTTCCGGATATCCATTTGGAATAAACTTCTGATCTGTAGTCTGCCTCTAGCATTGCATGATAACATCCAACTTTTACATCTAATGACCTCAAATCGGTTGTCAATTGTTCCGCATCCTTTATGGTAGTTGTATAAATTATTCCAGACTTATCCTTAAATCTGTTTTTCAATAAATTTTCTATCATAGCTAAACACATGTCTCTATCGGTTGGTTTACGTCGAACTTCGTAAAATAGATTAGGTCTGTTGAATGTAGCTCTTAAAACTAAACAACCTTGAATATCTAAGATTTTTTGAACATCCACAATAATCTTTGCTGGAGCAGTGGCGGTTAACCCGATAATTGGTATCCCTGGAAACATAGATTTCAAAATTCCTAAAAATTTATAATCTGGTCTAAAGTCATGCCCCCATTGACTGCAACAATGAACTTCGTCTATTGCAAAACGTTCTAATCGCTTGAGTTGATAAGCTTTTTGTAATTTGTTCATGAAACGATTAGACTTCGCCATATACTCTGGAGTAACGTAAATTAGTTTGACATTGGATTTCATATCTACAAGCGCGTTCATTATGGTTTTTACATTGTCTTTATTATTCTTTGCACTCAACATCATAGCGTTCACATTAATTTTTTGTAAACCATGTAACTGGTCTTCCATTAACGATATCAACGGAGAAACCACTATGGTGATGCCCTTACCGATGACAGCTGGTAACTGATAACACAAACTTTTACCACCGCCTGTAGGCATAACTAAAATTACATCTTCTTTCGACATGGTTACGTTCATAGTCGATAATTGCAATTCTCTTAATTTCTCAATTTTAAAAACATCCTTCAAAGCTTTCTTTAGATCTTTAGACCAACTGAAGGTCTCTTTATCCCAATCTTTTCTTGACATACATAAACTTTTCTTTAAAAGTGCATCATCCCGTAACTTTTCCTTACGCTCAATTAAAATCTTCTTTCGATCTTCAAGTTTTTGCATTTCAGTGTCAATCTGCTTCAATTCATAATCGATAGCAGCAATTTCATCTCCTTCAGTAACTGAAAAAAGTAATTGCAGTAATATAATGATTTAGCTGCAATAATGTATGTAACACACATATACAAAACTAATATTATCATTATCTCATATCATAGTATACATGCATTTTCAGAATCTTACATTAATTGATACAAATTAATTTAGCTGGATAAAGAGATGGCTGTGTTCGCAATTGTTTGTTCAAGGAAGTATTACCTTGCAAAAAAGTCTAAGTGCAGAAGAAATTAATAGATTATCCCATACAAAACAAATTTTTACAACAGTACAGTACAAAAATATATCCAAACGTATTGTAAAACAGGCTCTTAAATATAAATCGATAAGAATCAAAATTATTTGTGTACAGATGTAATAAAAAAGATTCAAAGTGTAATTAAAGCGAGAATTAGCTTAAGAGTATTATAATCCTCTTATTACAAAATTAAGAACATTATAAGTTAAAATATACATGTAAAGAAATACTTGGTTGCAAAATGAGTTTATCTATAGAATATTTTAATTATTTTAATAATGTACATCGCATCAAATTATTTCAATTTTTGAGATTATATATTTTTTTTGTATACCAAAATATGAAATATGATGTTTAATATCTGAATCAAGTTTTAGTAATAAAAAGTTGAACTAACAATGTTTCTATATTTATTTCAAACTTTAACAACAAACCTATGTATTCATCCTCATCTATAGTTATAACATCTTTTGAATTGCTTGCAGTCATCGTTAATAAATTATGAAATATTTCCGTAAATTAACATTTATAAAAAATTAGCTAGTGCATTAATGAATAAGTAGAAACGTTGATCAGTTTTTTTATGTATAACAACATATATTCATATCTAAACAATGATGAATGCACGTGGATGGATGCAAGCGCCTGCACGTAACCTAGCGCTTATTGCCGTTGCCGTTGCTGGTATACACGCAACGATATCTAATGCAATGCCGGTTATGTCGGTATTCCATCGTCTTCTGCTTCTGTTATTCAGTTGCTTCCACCTCCACCTTTCAGTTTGTTTCAGTGTGGAAGTTAATGGCCTCACGTGTCGGCTTCCCCTTCCAAGCACTCTTTCGCCGGACCGAGCAAGATACGTACGATTATGCGCGGACTTCGTATGCGAGGGGGGCATGACACGATAGTACGTACTCTTTAGTCACACGATTTTCATATTGTATATTTATCACGTACATGCACCGTATCCCCACTCTGGGACCCGTCCGCCATTTTGGAGTGAAAGCTGAGAGATCCCTGCTACAGCGATACCCAAGTTTCTGCAACATCTTCCAGCCGCGGCACGCTCCGTTAACGCGAATACGACCAGAAATTGCTTCGCTCTGATTGGCTGACGATTCGATGCTAAGACAGGATTCACTGCGGATTCGATGCGCAGCAAAATGGTGGGAATGCATGTGTTTCCTTAAAGAGGAAAAGAACCGTGCCGGAGTTGAGGTGTATCATTTGTATCTCCGATAACAAAAACTTCTCCGTAACCGTAGCGTGTTCGTGATGAAAATATGTGTTAACTCACGGGACAATACGACCACATAGTTAACAGGCAAGTAGCCTTTCACTCAGTGTTTCATATTAAATTGTGTAGACGTAAATACATCACGAATATGTTGAAGGCACTATTTCATGCAAGTCCTTGGCTTGAAAATACATTAACGTCTCTCTACTTCAGGGGTATGCAAGATTTCTATTATCACTTTTCTAATTAAAACCGCGTTACTGCGTTACGTGTAAGTACATACTCGGTCGCCTCAAATCTGCAGTGTCAGATTTTGTCCAATGCCTGTTACTAGCTTTTGTAACCAGATTGGCAACAGGTTTTGGTACGGGATCTTCCTTAATTCAGATCTGTTGTCAGATTGGAGCGAAACCGAGAACGAAAAGCAGCAGAAACGATGCGGATCCTGCAAGTTTAACCACATTTAAATTTCAAATGTACGCGCATACAGGGTGCTCGCTAACAAGCGGAGAAATTTTAACGGCAGAGTTTTTCACAATAGAAGACACAAAATTAAGGGTAAAAGATTGCAATTTCTATTTTGAATTTAAGTCAGCGAAGTTATTGAATAGCCGAAGGGTGCAGGATCTGTTTCGTTTCTACCGTGTACATACTGTCGTTAGAACGTGCTGCGCAGACTCTGTTTCGTTTTTGCCCCCAATCTAACGATAGGTTATGTTGCCGCAGAATCACAGAACCACAGCGAAAAATGCAAAATCGTATGGCTACGAATACGTAGACAAATTTGCCAATTGCGAACTCGATACTAATCTGCAACGAATTGTGCGCAAATTGTTTGCAAGGAAATTTTTCAATCGTTATATTCTTATAATTTCATAGGACCATATTGGAATAATTACATTGGATTTATCCAATTTTCATACAAATTTTCTATCGTTGATTGATATTTCTGAATAAAAGATTTACTCTTTTTAAGAGAATAATAAATGCAAGTTTCAGCTTTATTTTCCAAATTTTAAAAAGTAAAAATCATAGTTAGCGATTGCGAACAACTTCGATTTTATGAACAAATTGTCCATTTTTTTGTACACAATCTGAGCGTCAATCAGGGAGAATTTACCCGTACTTCAAAGTTACTGTAAATTACTGTACTTCGTAGAGGAAGAAATGGTTCACTAGTAGTAGGCAGTGTAGTGTGTTCAGATTGCAAAGTTCATGTTAAGTCGACAGTCAACGCCATCTGACGTGACGAAGTGACGTATCGTGTACGAATCGTGTAACATGAGCCATTGATGTTATCTTCGCAACTGCCCCCCAGCCCAATAAAAAGTACTATGTAGATAGACATGTAGAAGAATTCAGTGATGCAAAGATGAATGACTAAAGATAGTTCACTGTGACGTAGCAAGACAATCATTCAAAATGGAATGTAATTTTTAACATTTTTGAAATCAATGGTGCGCGCGCGTTATCTCAAAGATTGCAAAGAGAATCAAAATGGTGATGGTAACATCTCTTTCCCATACATATTTCTATACATATTCTATTCATATATACTATACATATTCCTATACTCCATGCATATTTCATACTTAATCAATGGAACTTGCTTTTTGGAACTTAAACATCTTCGGATATTGATTAATATTAATCAATGATATTGATTAACACGTTTGGAACATCGGTGTTTCGCTCTTTCGAAATTGCAGGTATGTATATCGTACTAGCACAGCTTGTACATCGAGTTCACTGTGACGTCATGTAGATGATTTGTCTTTGCTTCAGACAAACTATCTGAAGCCGTGTCATAGTTGTTGCATAACTTGGTCTAAGATCTGGCCACACTGCACTGGGCTGAAGTTTGCAGCAGGATTTGCTTCGTTTCTGCTGCTTTCTTGTTATCGAAGTATGCTGCGCAGGCTCTGTTCCGCGTTTATTTTCCGCGCGACAACAGGTTACGTTACAAATCGCATTATATACTTCTGACACATAGTTATGCATGACAAATATTCTGTTGTATAATGTTATTATATGCTATAACGCAGAATTTGTAATTATCTGTTAAGTGACAATGTTTCAAATATCTCTTCTTAATGATTGGCGTTTTAGTTACAAACAAATTTAACAAATATAGTATATGTATTGTGTGCACGCTTTTTAAGATATAGTCGGGAATAAAATTCAGTGGACAGGTAATTCAAACAGATATCAATTAAGTTACGTGATTTAGTAGATACATAAATTAGTAGACATCTGGATAGATGTCATTCAATGTGTTAGTGATGTCAGTACACGCCGCTATCAATGTATAGCAGTAAAAGATTTTTTTTTCGTGAATATCTTGAAAACTACTAATTTGCCGAAGCTAATATTTTATATTTGGTATCCTCTTCATTTCCCCCGCACACCCTCAAAATTTTGTGTCGATCAGCGGTAGATCTCTTTCGAAAATACAACCGAACGATGTATTTATGTAAAATGAAATTATTTGCAAAATTTCAGCCAAATCGGGTGTGACCGGTTTTCAGATGTTACGTCAGATATAATAATATAGATATAAATATAGTTGATCCTTAATAACTTGACAAAGATTTTGCAATCTCCTTGAGACACGAGTTACCAACATTTTATTTTATTATTGCTGCGACATGAGATAAAGTTTTGAATTTATCTCTTTTATTGTTCTAGCTAGAACCCTTTTTTCTGCATCGCATACACTTTCCGCCTTAATTCAACAGCCTAATATGAAGGTTCGAATATTGCCAGCGCTTCAAGATAATTATATGTATCTTGTATGTATTAAATTAATTAAATTAATCTCGTCGTTTTTATATTTATTTGACTTTATTTCTCATTTTCGAAGATTATCGATGAAGCAACACAGGAAGCTGCAATTGTTGACCCGGTAGATCCTGAAGCTGTTTTGTCCGTTGTTAAAGAAAGTAACGTCAATTTGACAAAAGTTCTAACAACCCATCATCATTGGGATCATGCTGGAGGAAATGAGAAATTATGTAAACAAATGAGTAACTTGCAAGTATATGGAGGCGACGATAGAATCGGAGCATTGACGAACAAAGTGAAACATGATGATACTTTCAATATCGGAGGACTTAAAGTCCAATGCCTTGCAACGCCGTGTCATACTACTGGACATATCTGTTATTATATTACAGGAAATCAAGATCCTCCTGCAGTATTCACTGGTAAATAAATACGTTATACATACATATAGAGATGCTTATGTGAGCGTATTAATTGAAATGTAATTGATATCGTTGAATAGGAGATACACTTTTTGCTGGTGGTTGCGGTGCATTTTTTGAAGGTACTGCGGAACAAATGTATAAAGCACTCATACAGATTTTGGGATCATTACCAAATGAAACTGTAAGCATCCCCAATTATGGTATATATTTATAACATATTTAATTGATTAATTGATCAGTTAATCGTTTTGCTTTCGTTTCCATTTTGCAATCTTCTTAACAATTGATAATTTGAAAGTTTTCCGAAATGGGAAAGAAATAGTGTTTATTTTTTATTTGCAATCTTTTTACGAAATAACTATATTTTTGACGTTTTACAGAAAGTATATTGCGGCCACGAGTACACGGAAAATAACTTAAAATTTGGAAAACATGTAGAACCACAAAATGAAGCGATTATTCAAAAGATAGAATCAGTTCGTATTCAGCGTGAAAATTTTCATCCTTCCGTACCTAGTACTATTTTAGAAGAAAAATTGACAAATCCATTTATGAGGGTGCATGAACAGTCGGTAATGGACCATGCGAAACAAATAGATCCAATTAAGACAATGGCATCTCTTAGAAGAGAGAAAAATTCTTTCAAAGCATAAATTTATTACTGTTACAAAAGAGACACCAGTATTTACATAGTCTTCCGTTTGTTAATACAAAATTTATGATTTGGCGATACAAATGTCTACCTTTACCCGCGAGCACAAATTGATCCATCTTATTTATAATTTATTTTAATTTACTATACATAAATACTAATATATGTGCAAATATTTGATTATAAATTACGTATTTACAAATAATATTTACCTTAAATACAAATACTATGTTATATTTAAAGACATTTGATTTGGTGTGTCTTCCGACTTTTTATTATAAATTTGCATTTCGGCAACATATTTCTCTTTGGATCGTTCGTACATGTCATAATATACCTGAAAAGATTTCGATGTTAATTTTTTAAAAAAAGCTGTAATACATGGACAAATATAAATAACTGTTTCTTTAATACATACTTTCTTATCTTCCGAACTTAGAGATTTCCAAGTGGTCGCAAGTTGCCTAGTAAGTTCTTGCTTGCTCGGTTCAGGTTCTCCAGCTAAGCGTTCCATCACGCGAGGCCTTTGTTCTTGACAGAATTGGAAAAATGGGTTCGCTGGTCTCTTTGGCGCGTTTGGATCAGTTTTCGCACCTTTCCTTTTTGTTCCTTTCTTTGTTCTCTCATCTTTAGAATTATGACCAGAGGCCTTACTGCCTTTCTCTTGCTTCGACGTAGCTTGAAAAACATTATTTTCTTCGAGAACTCCCATAGGTGCTTCACGCCAGCGATCACCGTGCTGATCCAAACGATCAATTAAAAATCTGTAATATACGAAACATATCTCCTCCATATTAGATATAAATTTATTGTGAATAACTTTAATATAAAACATAACGTTTCGGTGGCAATTTGAACACATAACCTACACATCAAACTCACTTTTTTTCCTTTCTTGTGCGTTTGAGAAGTTTCCTTACCCTTTGAACTCGATAAACCAACCTTTCATTCTCCTGCAATCGAAAACAATTCCAATAACAACGCAAAGGTGGTATGAAATGTTAAAATTACAAAATCTGATTTTGAACCTGCTGCAGAACTTCACATCTATCTAGTAGTAATTGATACTTTCGTTTGTAGATATTAAATTCTTCCGGTTCTACGTCGTATTCAGATTCGTCTGACATTTCAGTAATGTATCGTAATTAAATTGAACTAATCAGCATTGTTTTCATACGGTGTCAACAGTTCACGCACGCTTATTTACTATAATAAAAACTTCAGTTGACAGGTGTCGCTAGTTACAATAATTATCATTCATTTTGTCTTTTTTCTTTTTTAAGTATGCGAAGAAAAGAAAATGATAGAAGTTTTGAACCGTGCTCGAAACAAATATTTTAAATGGATTTATCATATCTTGAGAGTTTCAAAGCATTTAATTATGTTATAGAATCTGTAAATAATAAAATAATAAACAAATTTGTACGATTTTTGTAAATTTACATAATTTTCTAACATATTCGAATCATTTCATATTTAATAATAATAATAATAATAATCATTTCATATTTAATTTAAATTGCAAATATTTTTCAACTTTGCCAAGCATTTTCTATTATGGCCATACTGTCTCGTCCATTTTTCCAAACTCTTTATTTTTATTCATCGAAGTCATTTCTTAAACTCTTTATTACTGCAGTCTTATATGACAAGCAGAGAAGAAAGCATTATTTCATAAATAAGTAGATAAACTTTCTCACAGTATTTTTTTTTTTACTAAATTAACGAATAATTGTAATGTTCGATATTTTGTTTAAATTATACTGATTCATAATTTAGGACGACATTAAAAATTACAGATACGCTTGCCACAATAACTATTTCGTTAACAATTAGGATTAAAAAAGTTTGATTACTTATTGAGGGTTAGAGTTTGATGGATAATGCAGAAATAGATCGCACAAAGCCGATTAAAAGCTTTTACTAGTTATTTTTCAGGTAAATAAAAGTAAAAGTAGTATTAGTATGCACTAATGTTTACTTAGAAGTAATATTTACTAGATTTTACTATTTAGTAAAAAAAACATGGTTAATCTTACGCGTGCAACACGTCACATATATTATACGGATATTTTTTATTTTTGTAGACGTCGATACAGGTAAAATATAAAATCTTATCTATGCACTTTATGTATATTAGAAGTAATTTATTCTACGTTAAACAATATCAATATTATACATTTTTCTAAAAAAAAAAATGTCTATTCATCGAAACCTGTGGAAATCAATTATGATTTACGATTAACTATTTCTATTAGATAACAACGTGGACGAAATTTGCGGAACGGTGTTTCGAACGAAAATGAAAAATTGTCTATTTTTGCTCTACTTTGCGCCTCAAGTTGCGTCGCCCCTGTTTCACGAACCGACCAATGAAAGTTACGAAAGAAGGGTTGCGTCGATACACATGCGCAACTAATCACAATTCACCCTGGGCTTCGAGACATGGTCAAAACACGTATCGGTCTCCTCGTTGCGTTATTACTTTCCATTCCTGCTATTTGAAACTTCCGATTTTTCGTTCGCGTACGATTACTTTTATTCCACGTGTCAACAACAATTCGGTTCGGCTCCGTGGCTCCCTTTTTTCCGTGTAGTGTTGTTCACTTTCGTCGGCTAATTATTTGCAAGTGATTGTTTTCCGCGCGTACAATGCAGTGCGTCGCAGTTTTTTAGCATTCGCTCCAGATTGCAGGTTGATTTTCGGTGAGTACTGAACTAGATAAATATTTCGTTTAATCGCGACTGTGCGAAGTATATTCGTTCGCGCGAGCTACGGACACGGAAACATATATCAGATTGAATCGCGTGCGTGGAAATGGACAGGAAAGGGGTTTCCGTTTTCGTTTTCGACGCGGCACGCGCGTGCGAAACGGCTCGCTTACGAGATCAATAGCAGCCATTGCAGTTATGGTAACGCGATCAGCTGATGCTTATTTTGTTTACAAAAACCCCGCGGTCTACGTAAGCATCTTTTTCATCGGCGTAATACACGTCTTTTTCCGTAATTTTATTCAGCCTTTACATGTGCACGTCACCGAACGTCCAATGTTTGCCTTTGTATTCGTTATTGTTCAAATTAATATCTGGACAATTACAATTGTTAATGCGAATCTGTGATGTGCATAATGTCTGTGAAGACGTTTGTTCGTTGGATCGTACAATTTTCTGTTTCGCGTATAGAAAATCACATTAATTCTGCGCTTGTCGTTGTTTAACATGATTTGTAGGTATCCAGGTATAGCATGATATTCGGAGAGCTTATGACTTTTCTGTAATAATACATCGTTTTTCGTATTTTATGAGCAGACACCTTTCACGATAGAATATTAGAAATACGAAGACTATTTTAATATTATATATTATAAATTAAATTATTTAAATTATTTTAATATTATTTATTATACGAAAACCATTCGTTCAGGCTTGAAAATATTGGGATAATTATTTGTTTATATTACTTATTTAAACGCTCAGAATAATACATATTGCGTTATGTGATATCGTAAAATCCCGGAGCAGTTGTTTCTATGTATATGATGTCTTCTTTGGTGCAATCGTATTTTATTATTATTGGTGAAACATTTATGCTAATTACTGGCAAAGTAAATTGGCTCATAAATCGAACATTTATTTAATAAATGCACAATTATTTTCATGCAATTACGGAGATAAAAAAAGAGTCAACATACTTTTGAACGGCAGTGTGCACGCCGTGTAGCACGTTCCTAGGATCAGGCTAGGTCAAAGTTACGTATTGTATTCATTAACAAGTGCCAACACACGCGCGTACGACAAAAGTATGAATAATAATAATAATAATAATAATAATATTCTTTTAAAGTAAGTAATCGAAGTAATGTTCTTCTAAAAGTGATGGATGGAACGAGTCGACTAATTTCTCGGGTATACAAAATATCCTACAAAAAATGTTTTTGTAGGTTAAGGCTTTTCGAAGATTTCAAGTTCACTCGTATCTTTCTTAAATTGCACGCTATAGTTTTCCATTGCACTTGATAATTAAAATACTAAAATAGAAAAATACTAAATAGTAATAATAGTAAAATATTATTTTAGTAATATTATTATTACTAATAATAATAATATTATTATGAGTAATAATAGTTAATATTATTATTAGTAATAATAGTTAATATTATTATTAGTAATAATAGTTAATATTATTATTAGTAAATACTAAAATACTAAAAAAAAAACGTCGA